TAACTCCACAAGGAGTTAAGTGATCACATGTTTAGATTCAAATGTAAGTCAGCTTTGTTTCTTTGCTCATGTATTTGACTGAATGCACTCTTGGTTCGCTGCTTTGATGTTGCACATAGGAAACCACAGTCCCAGGCTTTGCTCAGATGAGCTCTTGGAGACTTACCCTTAAAGCCACGTACGGGATTGTGAAATGGATTGTAGTTGGCTGCCTGCCATGTGTCAGCCCTTCTTTAGTTTGGGGAGATGTTTTAAAAAATGAGATAAAAAATCTCTGCTTGGGAAGCTTATATTCCAAATGGGGAGACAGACAAAAAGCAAGCTGAATAAAGAAAGCACACAGTATATATAATATATAAGCTTAGGAGAAAACCTAGAAGAGGGAGTGGTGTGGGCGTGGAGGATAGGGGTGAGATAGACATTTTAGATCCACACACACAGAAAGCCCTGCAGAGAGTGACTTCTGAGTCCAAACTAATGACGGGAGGGAGCTGGTCATGTGGCTAATGGGAGGGGCACAGAGAGGGAGCAGCAGGTGGACAGGGGCTGGCGGAGGGCGTGTGGCCTGCGTGGGAAGCGGACACCTGGCGTGGAGAGGACAGTCAGATGGGCAGTGGACACCCGCTGGCGGAGGGCCCTGCAGGGATGCAGGGGACTGCCTCTTCCTCTGAGATGGGAATCTCCTGTGGAGTCACGCACAGAGGGGTGACAAGATGTGATTCGCATTTCAGCAGGCTTCTACTGATGGGCTGTGTGGAGAAAATACTAGAGAGGAGCTTTGGCCGAGGCAGGCATAAAGGTAGAAAGTTAGAGCTGTAATTAAACCAAGGGTTAATGATGTCCTTGACCAGATGGGGGGCCAGAGAATGACAAACACAGACAACATGACTTACTGCAGAAGGGAGGGAGGGTGTGAGAGAGGCGAGGATTCGAGAATGAAGGTTTGTAGGAGGGAAGGGCCATTGCCCGAGGTTGTGAAGAGTTGTGGGATGACTTTGGAAATACAGAAAAATACTTTCAGACCGAAGCTTGGGTTACTGGTCTGATTCTAAATGGAGGGACCAGTAAACAGTGGACATACAGTTTCTGGAGTGTGGGGAAAGTCTGAACTGTAGGTATAAATTTGGGCCCCATCAAAAAACAGATAGTATTTGAAGCTATGAAATTGGATGATAACAACTAGAGTAAGATATTTTTAAAGCCTCCTCAGAACACACACAGGGACTGCAGCAGGGCTTGGCCGCCCTGGAATGTTCCCAGCAGGCCTGTGGTGGGTCCTGGAATGTCTGAGGAATCCCGGGCTGCCTTGGGAACAGCTTCTACTCAAGCCTCCCAGTGGGTCACCTGGCTTGCTTACGGGCTGACCTGGGTCTGAATATTACATACCTATCTGCTGTGCCTGGACGGGATGGGTTGAGGTGGCAGAGGTGAAAGATTCAGTCATTAGTGATCCTGCTGATGCAAATCTTCCGTCACAAATGCAAATAAATATGTTCATCCATAAATTTTTCCCCACAAAATTGAGCATTTTATTTTGTTCTTAATTGTTTTGTCATTACAACTAGATTACCGACTAGACAGTAAAGTGTTTGTTTTTTACAGAGAAGGGATCTTTTTGGCACAATTTGTAAGAATGTTAGACACCTAGTGAGCAATAAATGCTTTCTTGTTAAGAGGTAGTAACTTTACACTCATATTTTTTTTCTTTCACCAGAATTGACCATGGTCCTGATTTTAGACTCCTACTGAGATCCGAGTGGAGATGAGCCTCCCACAGGAACATGCACCAGCACGGTTCTCAGAAGTTCATCTTGGTGATCACCCACAGAACCTCCCAGAAAGGTACACTTTCCCATTATAGCAGGGTTTACTTACTTGCAGAAAACAAAAATTAGAAAAAGAAAGAAGAAGCCCAATTCCCTTCCGAGAATCTTCACAATGACATTATCTTTTAACTGTATTTTGACTGCTGCCTCCTATATTTAGAGAGAGAAATGCCAAAAATTCCATCTGGGACAGCGGCGCTGTAGATTCCAGAAGCTAGAGCTGTTCTGGGGCAAAACTGCTTGATCATGTCATCCAAGCCATGGTTACTGATATTGCCTTTGGCCATGGAATTAGGCCTTTTATGCAGCATGAAATACTTGTAAAAACCCTTGTACTATGATACTGTAATACAATGAAATAGATAAATGGTGTGTCTGAGTGGTGCACAGATTGAAGAACCGACAGGTAAAGCCTCGACATATGTAGCATGATTGCATGAACTATTAGTGAGGGGTACATCACCAGAAAGATGGGACACAAATCTTAAATGGATTTATAAATTGCATTTTCAAGAGGGTAAAATATAAATGGCATCCCAAGTGCTGACCATCCTAATTCAACCTGACTGAGCTGGACTGGCCCTCCCTGGGTGCTTTCAAATGACATTCAGTGGGCACCTGTGGTGGCCCAAGCATTTTTACCAGGTACTTAAACATCTAAGATCTCATTTAACCCTTGCAACAATCTTTGGAAGGTGCAATATCTTCCACTTTTACAGGTGTGGGGACCTATATTCACACAAGACAAAGTACTGGCCCCAAACAACCCATTAGGTCTTACAGATTCACAATATAAAAGTAAGAGTTACAATTTAAAAATGCAACTACAAGGAGCACAGGAAAAAGAGGTGAAGGCAATTCACATGGCGTGGTCTGCGAATCCAGCCACCCCGTGGGTTGACTCGTGGTCTGCGAATCCAGCCACCCCATGGGTTGACTCGTGGTCTGCGAATCCAGCCACACCGGGGGTTGACTCGTGGTGTATGAATCCAGCCACCCTGTGGGTTGACTCGTGGTGTGTGAATCCAGCCACCCTGTGGGTTGACTCGTGGTCTGTGAATCCAGCCACCCCGTGGGTTGACTCCCCAGCTCGCCCTCCCAACAGCAGGTCAGAGACGCCACCTGCACACGGAAGAGAGAGCATGTGAAAATGAAGAGGTTGTGATTTTAGAATCACAAGTGGCATTTTTACCTCTAAATGGAGGTGATAGTGACATCCTGCGTAGCACATTTAGGCAACTGTTTTTACAACTACAGATGTGTCTACTTAGAAGGCACATCAACAACAGCCCAAAGCAGGAATAACAATACTTTGTAGGGGGTCCAGATATTTGCTCTGGATTACTTTCTGCTAACAGTGTTTTGCTGAAATGTAACGTGTTGTGCTGAGGCAGAGGAGACACCGAACACCACGTGGGCAGGGACTGTCCCCGAGAGCGCCTGCCCCTCTTCTGTGCTGTGCCCGACCTTAATGGCCTTGGAGTTAATGATGACCAATGTGAGGAACATAAAAACAGAAACCACAGCAATGGCACTTAAAGTGAAAAATAAAGCTCACTCTTCATGGAGAAGAGATGGTGGACTTACGATTAAGGCTGGAGACACTGCCTCCCTCGCTGGCATTCTTCACATCTAGGGCCAGGTGTGCCATGGTGGCACATGGTGACCTTGAGCCCTACTAATGGACCCTTAGCCTTTGCGGTGGACCTTCAGCTACATAACCCAGAGCCTTCAGGGCCAGGTTCCCACCTTGCTAAAAAGAAGATAACGTGGTTTGTCCGGCAAACCTTTCCTCAAGGATACTGTGAACGTCAGAGGAGGGCATAGGCATGTGTGGCCCGACTCTGGTCTCTGAGGGTTGGTAGCATAAGAAGGGGTCCTTCCCACCGGCTGCACATTACCATTTCCAGAGGGGGATTTTACCTTTTCCAAAACCAGGGCCACACCACAGACCAATTCAGCCAGACACTTTGGGTGGTACCCGGCGTCAATGCATTCATACTTTTTAAAAGCAGCCTTGGAGATTCTCCTGTGCCACCTAGGGATTGGGGGGTGTTCAAAAGTACCCCTAATGCACAACATGCTGCCTTCTACCTGACGCCTCCACAGTCCCTGGGAGCGGAGTGTTCACCCTGGAAGCCCACGGTTAAGACGTGTCATTACTCACACTCGAAACACAGCCCCGCTAATAGGTCGTCACGGATTAGAAAAAACATAGTCCAGTCTACAGCTTGGGACCTACAGTAATGAGCACAAAGGGGAAAAGCATGATGGTTTGGAGACAGACGCATGTTTGTACATTTTCTTTCCCAAGAACCAGTTCAATATGCAAATTATCTAAATAAATTAATGTTTCTGACTTACAGTAGACATAGCCATTTATTTAATTTGTATGCACATCCCAAAATTCTGTTTTTTAATTTTAATTTTTAATGGAGCTATAATTGACATCTATTACTTTTAGATATATAATGTAATGATTGAATACTTGTATATATTGTGAAATGTACATCAAAATAAGTCTAGTTAACATCATTGCATATGAAAGGTATTTTAAAAGGTTACCCCAAATTTGGGGATTGGAGATAGTCATGACATAAATGTAGAATTTTGAAGCAGATGTGAACTTGCTAATTATAATTTTACTCTTATTAAGTACATAAATAATTCTTTAGATGCATAGGGCAGGAGCAGCAGGGCTTGGCCGCCCTGGAATGTTCCCAGCAGGCCTGTGGTGGGTCCTGGAATGTCTGAGGAATCCCGGGCTGCCTTGGGAACAGCTTCTACTCAAGCCTCCCAGTGGGTCACCTGGCTTGCTTACGGGCTGACCTGGGTCTGAATATTACATACCTATCTGCTGTGCCTGGACGGGATGGGTTGAGGTGGCAGAGGTGAAAGATTCAGTCATTAGTGATCCTGCTGATGCAAATCTTCCGTCACAAATGCAAATAAATATGTTCATCCATAAATTTTTCCCCACAAAATTGAGCATTTTATTTTGTTCTTAATTGTTTTGTCATTACAACTAGATTACCGACTAGACAGTAAAGTGTTTGTTTTTTACAGAGAAGGGATCTTTTTGGCACAATTTGTAAGAATGTTAGACACCTAGTGAGCAATAAATGCTTTCTTGTTAAGAGGTAGTAACTTTACACTCATATTTTTTTTCTTTCACCAGAATTGACCATGGTCCTGATTTTAGACTCCTACTGAGATCCGAGTGGAGATGAGCCTCCCACAGGAACATGCACCAGCACGGTTCTCAGAAGTTCATCTTGGTGATCACCCACAGAACCTCCCAGAAAGGTACACTTTCCCATTATAGCAGGGTTTACTTACTTGCAGAAAATAAAAATTAGAAAAAGAAAGAAGAAGCCCAATTCCCTTCCTAGAATCTTCACAATGACATTGTCTTTTAACTGTATTTTGACTGTTGCCTCCTGTATTTAGAGAGAGAAATGCCAAAAATTCCATCTGGGACAGCGGCGCTGTAGATTCCAGAAGCTAGAGCTGTTCTGGGGCAAAACTGCTTGATCATGTCATCCAAGCCATGGTTACTGATATTGCCTTTGGCCATGGAATTAGGCCTTTTATGCAGCATGAAATACTTGTAAAAACCCTTGTACTATGATACTGTAATACAATGAAATAGATAAATGGTGTGTCTGAGTGGTGCACAGATTGAAGAACCGACAGGTAAAGCCTCGACATATGTAGCATGATTGCATGAACTATTAGTGAGGGGTACATCACCAGAAAGATGGGACACAAATCTTAAATGGATTTATAAATTGCATTTTCAAGAGGGTAAAATATAAATGGCATCCCAAGTGCTGACCATCCTAATTCAACCTGACTGAGCTGGACTGGCCCTCCCTGGGTGCTTTCAAATGACATTCAGTGGGCACCTGTGGTGGCCCAAGCATTTTTACCAGGTACTTAAACATCTAAGATCTCATTTAACCCTTGCAACAATCTTTGGAAGGTGCAATATCTTCCACTTTTACAGGTGTGGGGACCTATATTCACACAAGACAAAGTACTGGCCCCAAACAACCCATTAGGTCTTACAGATTCACAATATAAAAGTAAGAGTTACAATTTAAAAATGCAACTACAAGGAGCACAGGAAAAAGAGGTGAAGGCAATTCACATGGCGTGGTCTGCGAATCCAGCCACCCCGTGGGTTGACTCGTGGTCTGCGAATCCAGCCACCCCATGGGTTGACTCGTGGTCTGCGAATCCAGCCACACCGGGGGTTGACTCGTGGTGTATGAATCCAGCCACCCTGTGGGTTGACTCGTGGTGTGTGAATCCAGCCACCCTGTGGGTTGACTCGTGGTCTGTGAATCCAGCCACCCCGTGGGTTGACTCCCCAGCTCGCCCTCCCAACAGCAGGTCAGAGACGCCACCTGCACACGGAAGAGAGAGCATGTGAAAATGAAGAGGTTGTGATTTTAGAATCACAAGTGGCATTTTTACCTCTAAATGGAGGTGATAGTGACATCCTGCGTAGCACATTTAGGCAACTGTTTTTACAACTACAGATGTGTCTACTTAGAAGGCACATCAACAACAGCCCAAAGCAGGAATAACAATACTTTGTAGGGGGTCCAGATATTTGCTCTGGATTACTTTCTGCTAACAGTGTTTTGCTGAAATGTAACGTGTTGTGCTGAGGCAGAGGAGACACCGAACACCACGTGGGCAGGGACTGTCCCCGAGAGCGCCTGCCCCTCTTCTGTGCTGTGCCCGACCTTAATGGCCTTGGAGTTAATGATGACCAATGTGAGGAACATAAAAACAGAAACCACAGCAATGGCACTTAAAGTGAAAAATAAAGCTCACTCTTCATGGAGAAGAGATGGTGGACTTACGATTAAGGCTGGAGACACTGCCTCCCTCGCTGGCATTCTTCACATCTAGGGCCAGGTGTGCCATGGTGGCACATGGTGACCTTGAGCCCTACTAATGGACCCTTAGCCTTTGCGGTGGACCTTCAGCTACATAACCCAGAGCCTTCAGGGCCAGGTTCCCACCTTGCTAAAAAGAAGATAACGTGGTTTGTCCGGCAAACCTTTCCTCAAGGATACTGTGAACGTCAGAGGAGGGCATAGGCATGTGTGGCCCGACTCTGGTCTCTGAGGGTTGGTAGCATAAGAAGGGGTCCTTCCCACCGGCTGCACATTACCATTTCCAGAGGGGGATTTTACCTTTTCCAAAACCAGGGCCACACCACAGACCAATTCAGCCAGACACTTCGGGTGGTACCCGGCGTCAATGCATTCATACTTTTTAAAAGCAGCCTTGGAGATTCTCCTGTGCCACCTAGGGATTGGGGGGTGTTCAAAAGTACCCCTAATGCACAACATGCTGCCTTCTACCTGACGCCTCCACAGTCCCTGGGAGCGGAGTGTTCACCCTGGAAGCCCACGGTTAAGACGTGTCATTACTCACACTCGAAACACAGCCCCGCTAATAGGTCGTCACGGATTAGAAAAAACATAGTCCAGTCTACAGCTTGGGACCTACAGTAATGAGCACAAAGGGGAAAAGCATGATGGTTTGGAGACAGACGCATGTTTGTACATTTTCTTTCCCAAGAACCAGTTCAATATGCAAATTATCTAAATAAATTAATGTTTCTGACTTACAGTAGACATAGCCATTTATTTAATTTGTATGCACATCCCAAAATTCTGTTTTTTAATTTTAATTTTTAATGGAGCTATAATTGACATCTATTACTTTTAGATATATAATGTAATGATTGAATACTTGTATATATTGTGAAATGTACATCAAAATAAGTCTAGTTAACATCATTGCATATGAAAGGTATTTTAAAAGGTTACCCCAAATTTGGGGATTGGAGATAGTCATGACATAAATGTAGAATTTTGAAGCAGATGTGAACTTGCTAATTATAATTTTACTCTTATTAAGTACATAAATAATTCTTTAGATGCATAGGGCAGGCTGTCTCCATGGCATTAGAAGTTTAAATGTTTTATTTCCTGAAAAAAAAAATGTATTCACTCAGTCCTTGAGGGGTCCCATCACCCAAGAGGGTTTTAAAAATATATTTGAAAGAAACCAATTCATTTTGTGGAGTCAGCCAGAAGTTACCTACTCATCGATGGAGCAATTAACAGCCTGCAGTCCCATTTTACAAGACAGGAGTCTCAACAATGCTATTTCACAGTTAATCTGAACCACTAGGAAAGCAATTTCAGCGAAGACTGCTTTTAGCCCTGCCATGGTTCATCAATTACGGCAGCAGTATTCATGGAAAATGCACACACAGCATAAATGTGACCAGAGGGTTGTCAATTTTAGGGTATAAATCTGGCTAGGGGTCTATCATTAATCTCTGAATTTTATTTTTGGGAAGAGTGAACCACACAGTCATCAAAGTAACCAGTTTCGAGTGCCTAAGACTTAGAACTGTTGACACGCATCCCGTAAGAAAGGCTGCCCAGGCTTACGAGCAATAACAAATCCATCTTAAATCCTTTACCTTCTCGTCATCCACACACCCGAAAATCCTTCTTTGCCCTGAACTAATGAGACAGCATATACTCAAAAATCATTTAAATAATCCAGATTCCCGTAATTGAGGAGGACTCTCTAAGTCTTGAGCTTTGTTACGTGTCATCGTCACGCTGAGTGGTCAGGCCCTGTCTTTGACAGCACTGATCTGATGACCCTTGTGGGACAGCAGGGAAAGGGGTGCCTTGGAAATCCTAGCTGGTCTGTGTTCCAGAGGCGCTCGAGGGATGGAGGATATTGGGATGTTCTAGTGGGAGGAAGAGTATAGAGGATTCTAGATTTCTGTTCTGAAAATATACACAGAGCTAATGTCATTTTTGTTCAGTAAAAAAGCGGACAGCCACGTTCTCAGGCAGAAAATCAGGCTGGAGAAATCTGAGACAGAGGGACGTGGATCCCAGGCGGGAGCAAAGCCAGCGACGACGCGCACGGCAGGTGGGAGGACAGCTGGGAACACATGCGGGGCAAGCGCTGAATGGGGGGGCAGGGCGCCAGCCGCGGGCTGCACATCTTGCACCTGCCAAGCCAAGGGCAGCGTGACCACACCAGATGCTGAGCGCCACGGGGAGGGGCCGGGCAGCGACGGAGGGCAGGTGGGACTGCTCCTGATGGGCTGTGGCAGACGAGCCAGCTGTCATTTGGATTGCCACGTGGCCTCTGGCACTTAGCACAGCAAGGCATCAGAATGATTTTGTTCTATTTGCTTTACTTCTGTATCCCCAATACTAAAATGTTTACAGAGAATGGACGGATGTGTACACATCAGTGGATGTTTCAGGCTCTAGGCTGACACAGCACTGCAATCCCACAGAGGAACTCAGCAAATGTTGGAGGCCCAGCATCCCTGTATTGAGTTTCACAGCTTGGGTTTGAATCCCTGCACTGCCGCTTGCCATGTGGGACAATGACGTATGCTTTCTGTGCCTCCATTACTGCATGTGGACGATGGGGGTTGGGCCAAAATGCCATCAGAGGATTGTTGTGAGGATTGGATGCACTTATTCCAAAGAAAAATGCTAAACCAGAAACTAGAGCAGCTATTAATTTTGCAAAAGCCTTTAAACCAAGTACACCAAGTGTATATCATTACAAAACCACTGATTCATTAAGGTGTCTCCACCCCAGCCACTCTGTGAATTATCACAGGGGCAGATGTATGGCTTTCAGAGGAAATGGCAATAAATGGATTGAATTCATCCCATTGAAAACTTGAAGAGCTTTGTGCATATATATGTATTTGTGAGAATGTCAAACAGGGTACACTTTTGTTTAGGAAAGCAAATAGCACAGGACACTTAAAAAGAAATTGTCTCCTGACCCATTGTTTCTCCCTCTCAGGCTTATTCCCAAAGCAATACATATTTTCTTAACTTAAAAACATACATGTACAGGAAGAGGCACAAATTCTCAGTGTACAGGGTGGATCTGTAGCCGTGAACACACCCTAGTAACAGCCCCCTAGATCAGACCATGTCTGGTGCAGTGGCCACAAGCCTTTGAGCTTTTCCAAAGCACCTACTTACAAAGCTGCTAATTGGTTCCATTATTGGGCAACAGTTCCGTACATTTGGAACAGCTTGAGTATGTAAATCAACTTTTCTATGTGTAAAATTTACAAAATCTAAGTATAGATCAAGAATGTCCATTAAAAAATTAGCATCTCAGTGGAGGAAGGCAATGGTAGTGAAGATACTGTTTCTATGTATCTATTTCTTCACCAGTATCAAATTTTCTTGACTACAGTGTCCGTTTAG